ATCCTCATGATTTACTGATAGGGCTAGGTGTGCCTTCTAAGGCTAAACCAACAGCAGCCAGGAACATTCCCTCTCTTTCCACAGCTGCCAAGACTGTTCCTGTAGCCTCACCCCCTCCTGCTAGAGTTACCAGAGGTGCTTCGAAAAGAGGTATGTATTTTCAGGTTTCTTTTCTTTTAGACTTTTCTGTCTGTTTCCTTTACATTCATACCTCTTGGTGTAGGGTCTCCACAAGAAGAATCTCCTAAGAGAGCTGAAACTCTAGCTACTCTCAAAGACAAACAATAGCAGAAAAAGAAAATAAAGCTAATACTCACTCCTGAAGAATCTGAATCTCAAACTAAAGAGAGAGAGATTGAGAAAGAGCAGGAAATACCATTACAGAGAAAAAAGAGAAAGAAGATGGCTGTCTCTCCTTCTGATTTGGTCGAAGGCCCCACTCATGAGGCAGCTGCCAAAGCAGTAGAAAAGGAACTCACTCCTGAAAAGTTTGAATCCCAGATTGAAGAGAGAGAGATTGAGAAAGAGCAGGAAATACCATTACTGAGAAAAAAGAGAAAAAAGGTGACTGTCTCTCCTTCTGATTTGGTCGAAGGCCCCACTCATGAGGCAGTTGCCAAAGTAGTAGAAAAGGAACTCACTCCTGAAGAGTCTGAATCCCAGATTGAAGAGAGAGAGATTGAGAAAGAGCAGGAAATACCATTACCGAGAAAAAAGAGAAAAAAGAGAAAAAAGATGACTGTCTCTCCTTCTGATTTGGTCGAAGACCCCACTCATAAGGCAGCTGCCAAAGCAGTAGAGGAGGAACATTCCAAAGAAATAATTGTTTTTCAAAGAGCTGAGAAGAGGCGACAGCAACAATTACTAAGGGGATGAAGCAGCTGCCACTGATGCAACCCAAAGGGAAACAATGAGAAGGCAACACACTGCCGAGCATTATTCCCTCCGTAATTCTCCCGTCATTGCCACCACCTCTGAAACCAGTAATTTTCTTTCATGTCTCCACTTTCTTTTCCCAAATTGTTGATATTGAGACTTAACATTGTTTTGTACCTCTTCCTTTGTAGTGACAACTATTGAGCCTATTCTTCCAATAAGGACTTCCTCAGTTTCGGTTGAAGTTGATCAATCGCAAAATGTGAAGCCTATTCAGATAATACTCCCATTTTCTAGGCCTATATTCTCCGTACCCTCCTTGGGGCTAAGTATCCCTGCTCCTCTTTCTTTTGATTTAACTCCATACCTCCCTCATTTGTCATTCAATTTTACTCAATTTGATTCTCTTTCGAGCTTTACTTCTCCTCCCTCTTCTAAGGAAATTCCAGCTGCTACTTCATCTTTGATGGTAGCTGATTCCTACAGAGAAGGTACTAGTAGCTCTCCAATCCATCATCCATTATCTTTGCCTAGCTCCAGTCCTTCTTCTCTTGACCAACTGGTAGCCAAAACTATAGAGACTGCTAAGAACACTTCATCTTCTTCTCCTATTCCTATGCAGTCATTTCTTCCTTCCACCAGGGCTCTTTCTACACCTTCCATGTCAATGGATGAGGTGGATATCTTTGAGGCTAGACTTGCTAGTCTTTTTGACATACATTCCACCTCTCCAATGACTAGCAATGAGACTAAGCCATTAGTTCTAGCTGATTCTCTGCTTGAGATTTTTGAAAGCTCTTCCTCCAGTGGTAAGACTTCCTTGCCTTTGATAGACTTGGACAGTTGTCTGGAACTGCTGGCATCTTTTTCGAGGATTGCTTTCGAAGCCTTACAGAGGCCTATAATAAAAAATGGCTTCCTCCAATGTTGCAAGATTGCTGAGCAATCCAGTATGGTTGTCTCCAGTTATTTGTCTTAGGCCGCAGCCACCATAGATTTTACATCAATATCTGTCATGCTGCTAAGGCTGCAGTGGAGAAGTTATTGAGAGATCAGAGTTTTGTTTCTAAAGTTCATACTGAAGTGTCAAAATTGAAAGAACAACATTCCTCTGTCTCCCAATTTCAAGCTCAACTGTTGGAAAAGAAGGCTCAACTTGAGGAAGAATTATCAGCAGTTAACCAAGCTTTGAATCGGACTACTACCAAGCTGCAAATCACTAATCAAGAGCTAGCTGATCGAAAACAAGAAATGACTACAGCCATTCAATTGTTTCCATCCCTCAAGAATAGAGCATCTATTGTAAAAGAATAATTTAAACATTGTACTGACTTTTGGGCCAATCTATGGCTACATGTATTTGACTCTTTATGAAATAAATTCTTATTTATCATTAAAGTGTTCTCATGTTCTTTTATTCAGCACTTATCATAAATAAATTCTTATTTATCATTAAAGTGTTCTCATGTTCTTTTATTCAGCACTTATCATAAATAAATTCTTATTTATCATTAAATTCTTATTTATCAATAAATTCTTGTTCTTTTATTCAGCACTTGTTCTCATGTTCTCATTTTTTCCAACCACACCAGATTTTGTATCTTAAAGAAACTGAAGATTTTGAATTTGAAGATAATTATTTAGATGAAGATCGCCGAAGAGAGAGATTGGAAAATATCCAAAAACTTTCTTTGACAGAATATTGGATAGACAGTCTAATATCTGTTTCACAGGCAGCGTCCAACATCCATGGCTCAGCAAAATTCACATTCATGGTCACAGATGAAATAATACTATTTATAACTCATTTTCCCATAACATATCAAAGGTCTCCTACACAAATTAATAAGGCTCTTGACATGTTATTAAATCTCAAAAAGAGAAATAATTTGGATCTTCCGTTGGAACTAGCCATGATCACAGATGATGTAGAACATTTTCAGAATGAGCAATACAACTAGGATCCGGATTCCCCTCCATCAGAGACTGATGAAGAATATCACAATCTCATCAACAGGATGGAAGCATAGTGGACCCCACTATCAAATGCAGCTGTCTCCTGATCGACTCCAACCTTATCCAAGACACGTGGAGCAACCTGCATTCTTAGGCGAAAAGTGGTCAGCCAAATCATTTCAGCCGACGCTACACGACAAATCAGCTCAACCAAAGCTTATCTATAACAATCGATCTCTTTGAAAACAGGAGAGGGTAGACAGTTGAATATAATTGTAGTATAAAGATGACAAATAATTGTAGTCTCTCATTTATGACTTTTTTTTTTTCTTTGTATTTAATTTTGTGGAAATGTTGTATAAGCCTATGCCTAGGCTTTTAGACTTTGTCAAAAGTTGTAAAATTTTGTCAAAAGTTGTAAAGTGTTGGACGTAAGGTAGATATGCAATAATGTTAGAATAACTTTTGGTTTTTATCTGTATATACAAGATGTATTTTGTAAATTGACATTCAAGTCAATAAATAAAGCAATTGTAAATTCTGTTAATCTTTGTGTTTCCAACTTCGTCTCTAACTTCTCTTAACTCCATAACTCCATCATAATTCCATAATAAAAATAGTATAAAGTTCATTTCCTTTTTTGTTTTGTAATTGGTATTAGAGCCTGGTGAAGAGCTTTTGAAAGCAAGATCAAGTTATGCAAGTATTTCTCTCTACATTTAAATTTTTGATATATATAAGTGTGTATGGTGTGCTTTATGCTATTAAAAAAAAAATAGTCAAGTTTAGTATTTAATTGTGTATTCTTTGTATTTTATATCTTCATAATTATTTGTTTCATTTATAATTGTTGTAAAACCTATATGCTTAGTGTATGTCAAAGCCTATATACTCATTAAGATCTTTTGACTATTGGCCATAATTAAGTCTTTAAGATCATAAAAAGAGGTTTTAGGCACCAGATAAATACGGTGGGAGGGTCTTAGGTACCAACAACAATCTATAATGACAATTAACTCTGAAGATATAATATGCTTTGGAAATATAAAAAATAATGTTAATAATAAATATGACCATAATTTGCATATTACTAAAGAGTCTGCAAATATAAATAGTGTGTGTTCCAGTTTAAATAATATTATAAAATTAGATAAAATATAAGTATATTTTATTCATTTATTTTTTTTTTAGAATTCATTCCCAAATCTTGCATTCAAATACAGTGTAAAGACAAAAATAAGAAAAAAAAAAAAAAAAACACTTCCCATAACGAGTCTAACGGACCAAACTATGCTGTTTGGGTGGGAGACAAGACTAGGGGCGTAACTCAGGCGGGTTCGGTGGGTTGGAAGGTTGGTTGTCCGAGCCTAATTTAAGTTGTGCTGAGATTTGCTTAAGCCCGCCCAGGCCCGAATTGCAACCCGAGGTTGCATGCCCAAGCCAGGCCCAAGTTAAACTCAAATTGCTCGAGTTGTCCGAATTGTAAATAAATTTCAAATTTTTTTTATTAACTACATTATTAAATTATTAAAATTTGACTCTATTTACATTTTTTTTTATAAAAAATCATTAATACCATAAAAACAAATATTTTATATAACGTAAGAAAGATGCTGCTATAATAGTCTTTACAATTTACGAGTGAAAATAAAAAATAAAATAAAAAATCAGATTTTATATTGTTTGTATATATAAATATATATATTCAATATAATTTGATAATCTAAATTATTTTAATATCATATAATGACTAATAATTTATAGGTATATTTAATATTTTTATTTATCTATATATGTATAATTTGGGTTTGGGTTGCTTGGATTGTTTTACGTCTTTGTCAAAGCCTGTCCAAATTTAATTTAAGCTTCTGAATTTTTGCCCAAATCTGTACCAATTTTAAGATAATTTGTTCAAACCTTAAAAAAATTCAAACTAGATTCGGGTTGCTCGGATTGAGTCCGCCCAAGTTACACTAGACAATCCTTGTTCAGAGCTCATCCGACCCGAACCTAATCAGATGGACCCCCGACCCATATTCCTTTCTCTCGCCCATTTGCCAAGTATCGAATTGAACTGTTTCTGAGAACTTCTCTCACCTTCTAGACAAATACACAGAGAGAGAGAGACAGAGAGAGTCATAAACCCTAGTTTCACCTCCGAACTCACCTCTGTGTATTCAACAATGGAGACGAACAATAACTCAATAATGGATGTGAGATCAGTGGTCGATGTTATATCTTCAGATGACAATGACGCTCCTCTTTACCAGGTCGAAAGCCTTTGTATGCGTTGCCACCAAAACGTATCTTCTCTCTCTCTCTCTCTCTCTCTCTATATATATATATATATATATATGCTGATTATGTAATTTTGTAGAACTGGTTTCTAAAACTATTGTGAATGTGACGATGCCAAAAGATTTTTTTTTTTTGTTCTTCATAATCTTCTAAATTTCACTGTAGGGATGGATTAGATAATCAAAATAGTATTTTTCACATATTTTGATTATGGGATAACCAAGCTCCTCAAAATTGTTTCTTTTTTTTTTTTTTTGGTTTTATGTTTAATTTTTGGGAAATACTAAACACTTGTTTTGTTTTCGTTTTTGTGTTTAGGAAACAAAATTGGGTTGCTTTCAGGATTTAATTCATAAAAATATACAACAAAAAAACGAAATGCAACAACCAAACAGAAGAAAAGAGAAGGAAAAAGTGGCAAAATATTATCTTTTAATGCTCTATTTGTTTGAATGGAAAATATTTTCCAAAAAATGTTAGAAAACAAAAACGAAAAAGTATTTTCCATGGTGAACAAAAAAAGAAGCCATTTGGGCAGTAAATATTTTTCACAAATGTTTTTCAAACTACTACCAATATGTTATCACACTACCACCATCACCGTTGCCATCACTGCTGCTGCCACCTCACCACTACACCGCCTCCTCCAGCAAACATGGAAAAATGTTTTTTCCAGAAAACATTTTATGGAAAAAGTTTTTTTAGAAAATGTTTTCCGTTAATAATGTTTTTCGCCCAACGGAGCGGAAGTTTCATTCACTTTTCCTTTTCTTTTTTTGCTTTTGCTCCATAAACCCCTCCTTCAAAGCCAATATCAAAACACAATAACTGGGGTTTGTCAGCCTTTTTTGAATTTCTGCTTTTCGGTTACCTGCTTTCATCAAAAGCTTTTCATTAATTCATATCGGCAAATGTAGTATTTATTATTGAGCTGAGATGCTTCCAAAAAAATATATAGCAGTTACATGCATTTACTTTCATCTAGTAATCATGGGATATCAATCATGAATTTCTAAATGTTGTCTAATGTGGTGGTGTTAACAGGGCACAACGAGGTTTTTATTAACTTTGATTCCGCACTTCAGAAAGGTATGCTTTTGCCATCTTTGGGGAATATTGTCTACTTGAAAGGTTTAAGTTAACATGAATGTTATTGTTGTTACTTTTACTAGGCTATTGCTTTTCTTAGTTTTATATTATTTAGAAAGTTCCATTATGTTATGAAGGGTTAAGCTTTGACAATCTACCCTAGAAAATGGGTTGAATCTCTCTCTCTCTCTCTCTCTCTCTCTCTCTCTCTCTCTCTCTCTCTCGTGTACATGCTTGATGTTGCCCTGCCTACTTCATTTTCTTGTCTTGAGCTTATGGACAATCATGTGAAGCTTTCTTTCTATAGTAAAATTCTTTCTACTTGCAGATCTTGTTGTCAGCCTTTGAGTGTCCACATTGTGGTGAGAGGTAGTTATTTTTACGCCCTTTACAATTATGAGAATCTTTATCATATTTAGGTCAATTTGTCTTTTCTAATAGGTCCTTATGTTATCTGTCTGGTCTATCTGCAGTTTGCTGGTGAGCTCCAGCCCCGAGGGTGTCATTATCAATTGAACTTTCCACCAGGTGATCAAAAGGTTGTCTCATGTGGAATGAACTTTTATAAAATGAAGCACTTTTAAGTTATATAATTTTGCATTTATCAAACTATGCTGTTGTTTTTTAATGAAAAGATGCTCATAAAGCTAAACTAAGTTGTCGGTCAAAATATAATAAAATATTTGTTTGTAATGAAATTTAATTTCGTTAAGCCCCTGTTGTGATGTGCCTCTTTGCAGATTTCTTACTTGTGAAAAAGAAGAAAATTGGAACTATTTATATTGTCTATTTGAGCTTTGAGCTTAATTCCAGGCCACTTTCCTAATAGTTGAAGACTGTGTATTGGCTAATTTTTACTCCTGCTTGAGAACTTATGATAGTAGTTTCTTGTGTATTTGAAATCATTTGCAAGTTCTACTAGTTGTTAGATAATTTAAAGAAAGATACAATCACTTTTTAAGATGTTTTGTCTACCCTTATGGCATAGTGACTTCTCTGAATTTATGCTTTTCAGCTACCTGGTTTCATCCAAAGCTGAGTAAAAATGTGGTTGTAAATATGTTCATACGAACTGCACTCGTCATTTTAGCCGTCCTCTCCCACATTTGAGTTTGTAATTTGCATTTGTTATGTGTTCCTCACTAATGCAACTATGATTTCTCCTACTTATCTTTAGTTTGGGGTTACTCTCAGTCTCAGGGGGTTTCTTTCTAGCTGGTTTGTAATTTTAAATTTTCTAACACCAGGCACGCCTTTGTGAGGTTTTAGATGTAGCTAGTACATCTGCTCTCAAGCTCTTCCTTCTCTTGTTGTTGTCATCATTATCATTGTTGCTCTTGGTATATACATACAAACTTTTGCGCTACAAAATTGTTTCTCTATTTTCAAGCAAAATGTAAGTCACACTGCTCTTACTTGCAAATGATACACAGACAAACTTTTTCTAATGGCTTAACTGTTTTCCAAAGTTTTTAGGAAAGTAAAATTTTTAAAGTGTTATACTAATGGAGTTATTCTATGTAGATGCTCAATCGGCAAGTAGTGAAAACTGACACGGCCACTATTAAGGTATATTTTGGGTTCCACTTTTAACTTGACTTTCGTCAACTATACAATTTTCTTATTCTATTGGCATTATTTTAGTAAAATTATATTGAGTAAACTAGACTTGGCAGTCTGCTGGTTTGAATGTTCAAATAATGACTGGATTATTTATATATATCTATGATGGCTGTTCTGCATACATACATATATTTTTATTGGGTGGGACCCTTGTTTCCTTTGATTTCCCTAGATTTCTCCCCCCACCCATTTAGTTTATTGTAAACAAAGTATTTTAGTTCTCCTTCTAATCATTGGCCCTGTTTGGTAGAGCTTATTTGCAGCTTATTTCAGCTTTTAGTTTAATTTAAGCTATTTTGATGTGTTTGGTTCAGCTTAACAATACAACTTATAACTTTTTCTAAGTCAAAAATCAACTTATTCTTTGAGTGGGGGAGGAGAAGCTTAATTTATAAGTCAAAAATCAGCTTATGTTCACAGCTATAAGCCATAAGCTGTTAAGCTATATAATCACTTTCCCACAGCTCTACCAAATAGGGCCATTGTATCTACTAGTTTCATCTCTTTATAAAAGGATGCTTTCTGATCATTGGCAGCCCCCTTCTAATAACAACAAAATTACACTTCTAGTGTTACGAATCTTGCATGTATTATTGGTGTTGTACATATTTGTCAGTTACGATTGATGACTATTGATCTGTGTGACCTCCCTGTATGCATTGTTTATCATTAACATCTTTGAATTGTTATTATGATCTAAGAGATTTGCATTTTTCTATCATTGGTTTTTACAGATTCCTGAACTGGATTTTGAGATTCCTCCAGAGGCTCAGCGTGGATCTCTGTCAACGGTATCTCCTTTTATAACCTACTCCTAATTTCATATTATCTTCTGTACTTATGATGCTTAACTTGTCCTTTTGTTTATGTATTACCTTTTGCCAAGATGTTTACACATTATGTGAGCAATTTGACTGGTTGCCACTGGCAATTGGTACTTTCTTCCCATACACGTGCAACTTTTTATGATCTTATTTCTGTCAAATATAGATTTTGCAATGGTAGTTACACCAGAGTGTTAAAAAAGGTATTGTATCAAGTGGGACTTTTTTCTGTATTTTTTTTTCCTTCAAATTATTACATTTTTCGTGATAAGAAATGCATTGGTGATATCTCCCGTTGATGGATTTTTCCTTTTCTTTGGTTTTGTTTGGGTGCATCACATGTAGAAGCCACTTGGAGAGTACGAATTAATATCATCCCATCCCATCTCATCCCATCATTTGGATAATAACTTCGATAAATAGTTCTGTTGTGTGTAACATGCTATCATGATTATATTTCTCTGCTCTTTGTCTTACCTTGGCCATTAACTCTTCGTTCCTATATGTCTATTCGTATAACTGATGTCCAGTCATGTTAAACTAGTAATATTTTGTTAAGTCAGAATTCTGAAGTGAGTAGTGCTGAGGAGTCGCTCAATTTATAAGTTAAAAGTTCAGTATATTCTCCAAGATTGCTGGTGCATTGTGCATGAATTTTGAATAAAACCCCCCTTTTTTTCTTCTTTTCATGCAGTTTTGAGTCAACATGTTTGATCTTGTGTTATTCTTTTCCACATAATCTGTGTTATTTATTTGGATGCTTATCTTTGTACACTATTAACCCCACCCCTACTGTCTGTTTTCCAGGTGGAAGGGATATTGTTACGAGCTGCGGATGAAATAGAGGCCCTTCAAGAAGAAAGAAAGGTACATGTTAATTTGAACTCACTAGCCATTTTTCTTCATCTTCCTCCTCCTCCTTCTTAGATTCCTTACAACCTATCTTCTGCTTTTCAGAAAGTGGATCCCCAATCTGCTGAAGCAATTAACCGATTCTTGCCAAAATTGAGGGCTTGTGCAAAAGGCGAGTCATCCTTTACAATCATTCTTGATGATCCTGCTGGCAACAGTTTCATTGAGAACCCGTAAGTGCCTGCCCACACCCATTAACATTTAAATCTATAAAATGACATAATACATTACATAAGTGTCTGCCTTAGGTCTGATTATAGTAAAAATATAATGATATTTGAACTGTAGAGAGGATGTCCTCCAAACCCCCTGCTAAGACTTGTGAGAACCCTCCAATATTACAAGAAATCTGCTTTTGAAGCTGAAATTCTTGTGCAAAGTTCTAGCACAAGAGAGTTTAATTAATTTGATCTTCATCGTGGTATTTCTGTTGTATGTGCTGTTTGTTGCAGCTTCAATGGGCTGCCTATGGTTATTGTCTATGTTACGCGGACTCTTTAAAGTAAATCAAATACCCGTGTCGGACACCCGACACTCAGATAAGAGTATGTGATATGTGTTAGCTACTTTTCAACAGACACTTCTTATATAATTGTATGTAACACTATTATTATATGTACATATTGTTGTATAGTTGCAATAAATGTCTTTTTGACACTATAAGTTACATATAGCACCATTTTATCTCACATACTTGATTAAAAATATAAAATATGACATTTGTTTTTGCCGAGTCCATGACCCTTAAATTTATGGTTTGAAAACTCTGACCTCTAGATACATACCCACATCTGACACCTGTATCCCGGTCCATGTAACATAGGTTATTTTTTTTAAAAAAAAAATTTTTTTGTTTTCTTTTTTTAAATTGTGAGATTTTGTGTGACTGTTGTTGTAACTTTTGCTAACAGCATAAGTGGTAAAAATAGCTTAATTAAGCTGGAAAAAGTTGATTATCCTTTGGCTCAGGGAGGGGTGCTTTTAGATTCTGCTTATAGATTATTAGCTTATAATAAGCTATAACAAACAGGCCCATAGTTAGTTCTTCTCTCTGTGTTTCTCCCTTTTATTAATGGGGGGCCTTTAAATAAGTATATTAACAAATGATTTCTTGTGTACCTCACTTTAAATGCTTTCTTGCTTTCTTTCTCTTCCTGTCTCTCTTTTTTTTTTTTGGGTTATATCTGAAGGGCATCCACTGATCCCTGATAGGTTTGCTCCATCTCCGGATCCTTCATCGATAATTAAGTTCTATGAACGAACTCCTAAGCAACAAGCGTCACTGGTGTAGACACCCCATTTTTGACCGTCCTCAAGACTTGGACGTCACCGTTTGAACACTCGGTGATCATCCTTGTTTGTGTTCGTCTTGAGTTTCCGGAGGTCTCGGCTACGCGCCTTGCCTCAGGATCTCTCGACTCGACTGTTTTGTTTTGGTCTCGCACCAAACACTTGCGTTTTTTCTTTGGAGGGCAGGGAATGGCTTGTTGGCCATCCCTACACTCCACAGGCCATGGCTTGAGGCCACCAATTGGTTTTGTTGCCATCGGCAAGTATTTAGCCGACTGGCACTCTAGAATGTCGGCGACCGGCACTCTAGATGGTCGACCGACCATATATTTTGGTCAAATTTCATTTTTGGCTAGCCGACCACTGTTCATCTTCTTTTGCAGATATTTTTATGCCAGTTGTGCTAGCTGGCATACACTTTGCTCCCCTCCATACACGTGTATGGAGGGATCTCCCTCTTGACTAGCTTACTGAGAAGCTTTGCAAGAGTGAGCTCTATAGAGGAGCCTCTCTCCCTCCATTAGGGTTAGAGAAAAAATCTCAGGGAGCTTTGGTTCTAGGTTAGCGTAGTATATCTATTTTATCTCTATTTCTCCCTCCTCTTTGCCTTGTGTGTGGTGTGTTTAGTCTTACTATTGTACAAAACACCTAGTCCTACACCTTCTCTTGGTTGCTGAGGAACCAGAAGGCTGTTCTTGGTGTTTTTGGGTGGTTTTGAGCTTGAAGAAGCTGCTGGAGCATCATTCTTGAAGAGGGTCAACAGGGTAAGATTCTTGCCCTTTTTACCCCATATTTGCATAGTCTTTTTGCCTATCTTACAACCTTTTTTAGACTCTGTTGTATAACACATAAAGTCTTGTTTTTGCCGCTCTAAATAGTTGTTAAAGAGTGTTTTGTTGTTTGAGGTCGTTTGAGCCCTCTTAGGGCTTGTTTGGCCCCATTTTGTGCTATTTTGGTGAGCTCCGGGACCACTTTGTTTGGGCCTCCTCACCACTGAAATCTTGAGGGATTTCAGTGGTGAGGATGGTTCCTTGAGGTCCTAAGAAGGAGAGGGCCACCCCCTCTCCTTGTTGTCCTTGAAAAGGGCCATTTTTGCCTCGTGTGTGAGCATCCTTTTTAAATTCATGTTGGCCATGTCTTAAGTGTTATTTGTGCTTATTTTTCCATGATATAGCACTATTTTTACTTGGTTTAGACACACCATGCTTGCTTTGCATACTTGTCTTGCAATGCCATGAATTTACCTTAACATGTATCTAGCATTTAGACCACTATGCTTACTTGTTTTGGCTTAGCTTTGTGAAGCTTTTATGCATGTTTTAGTGTGCTTGAGGACTTTTTTGGTTGTTTGGGTCATCCATGATTTGCTTTGCATAGCTACCATGTAATCCCTCTTGTAGGCCTTAAGTATCAGACCCTCTAGCATGCTATCCTTGCATCGTTTCAGTGGCTTAGAACCACTTATAGCATCATTTCAATCCTCATGGCATGCTTGTATGCTTGCATTTGATGTCCCTTTAATGCTTTATAAGGTTGTCATCTTATGCTCCATGTTTGGCCTCTTTTGTATGCTTGCATGTTTAGACCATTTAGATGCCATCTAGATGTGTTTTTTGGCTTTGTTTTAACATGCTAAGACTCTGATTTTGGTTGTTCAAATCATGTCATGTTTGATTTTGCTAAGTGTAGTTCAATACATCTTTGGCTTGCCTTGAGTTTTGGCTTTGCTTGCATGCTTTGCTTGCTTTAATTAGTTGGTTTGGCAGCTCTATTTCATGCAATTTCAGAGCCTAGCATGCTTGCTATATGCCCATGTTCATCTCCTTTTAAGTGTTCTTAAAAGTTGCCTCTTTGTGCTTAAGTGTCGAACCATGTTTGCATGCATGATTGTATGTTTAGATACTTGGTTCATGACATGTTGTTGCATGCTTGAATAGTGTTGCGTTTGGCATGCATTTCTTGTTAAGTTGTCTAACATGTTATATGCCTTGCATGTGTGCATGTTGACATTACACTTTGCATGCTTGTTAGTTGCATCCTTGCATGTTCATATGCATGCTCATGTTGCATGTTTAGAGTGCATGCTTAGATTGTATTTGACATGCATGCCTTGCCTCTTGAATTGAGTATGATAGAAGTTAGGCCTCATTTGTTTGTTTGGTTTGCATTACATTTGAAATCAAAATGCACAACTTGGTTCCTTGGGCTATCACGCATTGAAATGCGCGATTGGTGGTCCGAGAATCAAGTACCATGCTCCTTTGAGTCATGAATATGATAAGGAGTGTGGTTAGTGCAAACATTGCTTGAAATACATTGCCATGCCATGTTTTTCCCTCTGCTGCTGTCAAAACAGGTGTTGAACTATTTCTTTGGACGGCCGGCCATCTTTAGTGCCGACCGACCAACAATTTGTGGCCGGTAGCTTAACAAGTGGCCGGTGATCATTTCCTTTGGCCAGTGACCATTTCCCTTGGCCGGTGGTATCCCACAGGGTTCATAGAGTGCACCTTGGGAATTTTGCAATGATCAGAGAAGGAGAATAGTGCGGACAGAGGCAACTTGTGCATGACGACGGGTTTCCGAGCAAATCCGAGCACGCATGCATTGGACCCTCTTCCCGAGGCATTTTATCGCTTTCTTTACTTAATTGATTTGTTTAATGAATTGGTGGTCTGTAATATTTAATTAGCTTGTAGGTTAGTTAAATCTATATTATTCTTTTGGTCCCTCCGAGCGAGGGCGAATTTGTAATAAGTGTGGGTGCGTGTGTGCATGTCTTCCAACCCCACTTCTTTCTCCCTTTTACTTACCTGCTTTTGATGGTTAGTATTAGGGCACATTTAATCTAGCATACCTTGTGCTATGCATGCGTGCATCATTCATCACGCCTTGCGTGCACCGGGCTCGGCGCATCATGCTAACCGCATAGTATTTCAATTCCAAACTCGAATACGTGCATCGATTTCGTATTTCACATGTCATCCTTAGATTAGCTGAGCCCATTCTAATGAATTTTTGTATGTGATGCATTAGCCACTTAACATGAACTAGGATCATGTATGATTACTAACTACTTCATTGTTTTGGCACGGAGTACGATGTAAGTATTATTGCTTTAGCCATCTCGCATGAGTGTGAATGTTAACATGACAGCATGCTTACCATGTGGCTATGTGCTTATGTGATATTACTGAAATGGTGCCTGTGGTGAAGGTTGGATTGTTTGAATTGGGATAATTCATCGAAATCCGTATTTTAGCTACTCGCGAGTAGCAAAATTCAAACCATTTTCCAAACAAACGGAAATGGGATACTTTGTTCCGACTTAGGCAATTTAGTCTATACTTGTTTGCTGTGCACATCACATAGTAATTCTAGGTTAATAACCGGAATAAGAACACATAATGCTTTCAAAACAATATATCACGGTTAGTAGAGGCCGATCTTTGATCGGGCGAGAGGGGTGCTCATAGCTGACCTTCCCCAATCGTACCCAAGTTCCGAGCCGAGGCAACTTTGCGATGAGGGCACGTGGCCTTTGGCACCGAGTCAGGGTTTCCTAAATTCTCCCAAAACAAAATATTTAGGTGGCGACTCTGTATCTGGCGAAGCAGTCCATGTTTGGCACTTCTTTTCTAAAAATCTATTTTCCAAAACGATTTGCCGAATTTGGACTCTTTGGTTCAGATTAAGAACCGTGGCAATTTGAGAGTCCTGAACTGTAGTGAACCCAATATGAACAAAGCGGGACTCGTCCTCCCAGGGCGTTCAGGGACGTCTACAACTGGGGTACGTTGTCAACCCATCACTTGGGGGAGAACATTGTGATGAAGCGTTATTAGAGGAACTAAATAGTACTGGTGATCAAACTAGAAGAGAACCACATGGATTAATTGGAGCTACAGCTGGTCAGCAGGCTATTGCTCAGGGTAATAGTGCAGAATTTGCTGAATCTTTGTTTCGGTACTCTGCACCAGAAGACGTACAAATATCCTTTCAAAAGTTCATTCCCACCTCCTGCTTTCTTATCCCTCCTCCCGTCTTTTGTGGTGCAAATGTAGAGCGTAAATTTGTTGCAAAATGAGCATGGATAATTCGCTACGCTATTTTCTTGAATTTCACATCTGTTTCTTTTATGAAATGGGAAGTTGCAACTCAATTATTTATTTATTTCTTCTTGCTGGATAGGTGATGACCTTCCCATCAACATGTGGAACTTGTGCAGCCAAGTGTGAGACTCGAATGTTTGTCACCAGTATCCTTCTTATCTCTTCTGTCATTGAGATGTGACATGGCACTAGTGGTTCTGTTTTTATACTACTTGCCATATACAAATAATATGGCATAGCAAAATTAACTTTATTGTAATTTCTTCCACATTAATGCTAAACAAAAGTTGCATTTGTTTTTCCCCTTTCCCTCACTTTTCACCATTTTCATCTTAGTAGTTTCCTAGTTGTGTTGTAGTGGGAATGGCTCAAGGATTGGGAAATATTTTTGATTCTATGTATGAATGTCTTTACCCATCTCAACTAAGGTTTATACACCCCAAAATGTTTTAACATAGAGAGAGAGAGAGAGAGAGAGAGAGAGAGGTTTGAAACCAAGGAATCAGTTTTTTAGGGTCTTCATCAACAAAGATCAACTTTCTCAACAAAATAAATAAATAAATAAACAAAGATCAGAGAGAGAGAGAGAAGTTTGAAATCAAGGAATCAGTTTCATAAACAAAGACAAAAGCAAGTGTACCCTTTCCATGCATTAACACTAGAACATTCATAACAACCAAAATCACAAGGCCCTAAAATCAATAATGCCTAATGCTCCTAGCATTAAAAAAGTACAAAGTATTTCCAACTCCGAGCACAGAAACAGGGGAACAAAGGGAGAGGCGGGGGAGAAACGAAAAACAAGAATGAACATGAACTGTACCCTCCAGTTTTCAGGTCCCACTACAATTAGAGCTACAACAAATCAGTTTTTTCACCTTGCAGTGGCAGCTCTTGCACTCATAGATGTATGGTAATTGGAGCTTCTCTGTTTCCTATAAGAAGAATAAACATCATCATATTGACTCGCCTCATTTGGATTAGGGGTGGCACCTAGTCCCAACCGTCCCGAGCTACTCGACCCAGGTTTCCTTGCTACACTTTCATCAGCATAAGTCCCTGTCTTCAGATCCACCTGTAGATTTGGGGGTGGAGGAATGCAAGCTCCACCTTTGCGAACCAGCAAATCTCGTTCGTACTCCTCGTCGTCATCTTTCGAATCAGACCCATTCATGGGTCCCTCAGAAGGGTTAACCTCTCCGATCTCTTTGAAAAACTTCGACACGCTATTAAGAATTTCAAAAGGAGATACATTGGAAGGTGGGATTACAGTTGGGATATCAAGAGGGCTCATGGGAGAGTAAGGTACCCCACTACCGATTTGCATCTTTCTGACCATTCCAGGAATAAGACCAGGTGGAAATAAAGGGTACGGGGGTAATTTTTCACCCGTGTTGCCGGTTGATGGTGGCAATAGATGGGGTGCAGTTTGTTGATTTGCGGGTAGAAGAGAAGACTATATGGGTATGGACCCGGTGAAAGGACCGGTAGGGACTGAATTGGCAAGAAACGGCTGGGTTGCTAGGGATGATGGCATGGCTGGTATAGAAGGAACTAATTTATCAGGATAGTCTTTATCAGTCAATATTGGCACCGAACCTTGCTTATCAAGCTGCCACTGTAGGGCATTATGATTTGTTGCCAGTTGTGGCAATCCTGAACACAAAGAAAAACAAGTTCAACATATATAAATTCAAAAATTCAGACAGAAAACACAAGTATATGCATACTAAGGACAAAAAAGCCACAGTAAAGATCATACTTTTCTTCAAACTTGTAATTTTCCAAGCGAGCTGAGGATTAGCATGAGAGAGAGAGAGAGAGAGAGAGAGAACCTGCAGTTGAGGGATCAGTTGAAGCAGCAGATAATTCCTTTGGAAAGAAATTCGTTGGTGGTCCACCAATCATCTCATTCTCAAGCGCATGAATAGTAACATGATCATAGACTTACTTGGAAGCCCAGAACTGTAGGATTTTCTGCAATCGTGATTGATTTTCCTCCTTGTTTTGAGGGTTGTGGTAAATCCTGGCAAGCATGGAACCTAAAATAGGCTTAAATGCAAGCGCCTCGTTATCAAGCTCATAAGGGTTCATCCTGCGCTGCAAGCTGCATATTTCAAGAATGACCCAAAGAAAAACATATGGAGCATCAATGCACACATTGATACCCAAAAGATTAAACAATTAAGAAGCATTCAAGAAAGAAATAGTTTCCTGCGTTCGCATCACAATAGCTCGATTTTAATTCCCCTTACTATATCATCAAAATCAAAGAACATTGCTATCTTGCCAAAATATAATTAGCAAGATAGATCAATACCACATATTCATTAAAACACCAGTGTAATATCATTGTATCCAGTTGAACAAACTTAAAAAGAAATTTCTATCTGGGAGGAAAATCAAATTTTATTATTATTTTTTATATGACAAATTTGGAAGGACACATAATAATGTACTCGAGTAGCCAGTGGACACCACGAGATATGAAGCAGTGGAAGCATTTAAGAGGCAGAAAATATCAGTGAATAAGAATCCTGCAATAGATGTAATAAAGAAGAAGAAAATAAAGCAATAGGTATTCACACACAAAAAAGCAGCCAAAATCAAATTCATATCAACAGCACTCAAATTTATGTTGAACTAAGATTTGGCACAGCACTGGAAGTGTACCTGTCAAATAGAATGTCATTGGCAAGGTAAATTATATGCAATTGTCTCTCAGAATCATCCACACCAAACACCCTGTCCCTAAGTGCCTCGGCCAGAGTTGGTGCAAATGGAGACCTCTGCATAAACCAAATCTTGGCACCTTTGATTGACTCTTTGGTTCCAGTGAGATTGTTAAGCACATTGTTCATCTCCATCGCAACATCTGAAGGCAGAGGTCCAGAGAGACCTTTGAATGACCTGGAAGAGTGATCATAATCTGGTCGTCCATGACCAACAAAAGGCTGAGAATGTTGATGGCTAAGAAGCACGGACACTTCTAAGAAGGTGACGTATCCGTGTCGTGTTCGTGTCGGACACCGACACTCTTTGGACACTCTTAGGACACGTGTCTGACACTCTTCAAAACATGTCCTATTTTTAAATTTTTTTTAAAGATCCAAACACTCTTTGAACACTTGGAGGACACATGTGTCAATCACTTAAACACACGTGTCTATCAATTAGACACATGTGAAACTAATTATAAGTTTGAATACAACAATTTAAGATATAATAATAAAACAAAACCCATATAAATTTATAGAAATTAGTGTCATATTGCATTTTATATTATATTTGAATGATATATTTATATATATAATATATAATAAATATATAAAATTATATATTTCATGCGTGTCCCCCACATATTGTGTCCTGTATTTTTTAAAAATTAACGTGTCAGCATGTCCGTATCGTATCCGTGTCGTGTCACGTGTCCGTGTCCATGCTTCTCAGGTTGATGGTGCTGTTGTTGCTCATAAAACGGTGGTGTAAAAGGAGGTTGGTGCATTTGAGGACCACCCAATGGAGGAGCATTTAACGATGACTGGTTCATCATAGGATTTGGAGGACGCATCATAGGCATAGAAGAGGATGGGAAAGGTGGGTTGAAGGGCCACCCGGGCCATGTGTAGATAACCAAAGCTTGTACCGGTAGTAATTATGTCCCTCACCACCAAATAGAAAGCTATAATTAGGATTGTCTTGCTGTTTTTCACGAATCATGGCTTCAAATTCAGGGCCATTTTTGGCAGCATACTCAACAAGTTTATCAATTCGCTTTTGGAGTTTAGGATCAGATGGTGGAGCTGCAGGGTGTGGTGGAGAATCATATGGACCAATGAAAGGTGAAGGAACAAGATGAGGGGGCATGTGGAGGAAATACAGGTGGAGGCTGTTGTTGCTGCTGAAGATGAAGGTGAGGATGTGGTGGAGGATGAGGATGGAGTTGATGTGGTTGTTGCATGTGGCAAGGAAAAGGATACTGTTGGAGAGAGGGATGTGGTGGAAGAAAAGGAGGATCGTGTACTGATGGAGGGAACTATTGATGAAAACCAAATTGTTGCTACTATTGAATATTAGTTGTTTGCTGCTGTTGTTGCTGCTGCAAATGTCATAGCTGCGGCATAATCATGAGCTTGTCGATCCATATTACAGATTTAGGGAAACCTTTGAAACACCTAATCCAATAAATAAAGAAAAATATGAAGAAGTCCCTCTACTACAATAGCAGAACAAATATCGGAATAAAATGCATTTAAATATGAGTATCCAATATGTCGTTCAGCAGTATATGATTAATGAAACTGTCAGGTTTTATGCAGTGTTCGGTTCACTATAATGAACGTTGGAATGGAATGATTATTCCGTCAAAACACCCATTACCCATTCCCATGTTTGGTACGGTAAAAAGTAAAAACATATATTCCAAATAGAATCACCAGAATGACCATTCCATTGGGAAGGCAAAGAACAACCATCCCATTCCTACCCAAAATCATTCCAACAAACCAAACACTCTCTTAAGTGTTAAAAGGCTCCTCTTTACAAAACCACCTTGCATTTGCTGAACAAAAAATCAACTTCACAAAGTTTTATTGAATGATTAACCTAGTTACCTAGGTTTCACTAAGGCCTTCTAGAAGAGTCAGGATTTCAGCTTTGACAGAACACTAATCCCTCCTGGTCATGAAAGGATAGTCATACATACCCTCTCAATCCCTTTTGAACAAATCGATTCCTAAATCAATAAATCACAAGGAAGCAAAAATGGCTAATTCTTATACAAGGGAAGAAAAAAAAAACTCCCAGAAACCCAAAATCGTTATATGAAATAAAAAAAAAAATTAAACCGATTTTCCTCATATTCTAAATCAGAAGCATAGAAAAATTGTGAACGTGAAACCCTATAACAAACAAAAAAAACAACTAATTGTAGATGATCTGATAAAATATCAACAACCAAATTTGATTTAAATGGTTCCAAATACTAAAATCAGAACAAATAGACAACAAACTATAATTCATATATAAAAATACTAGTTTTTTCAATTACATAAAAGAAAATAATGAATGGGGAAAGTGGGTTACTCATATTCACAAATTATCTAGACAAAGCTCTCACCTTTTTCACCCAATAATGAAAATTTCTTCAGATTTTGGAAGCAAAGACAAAGAACCCAGATTGAGGGGAGAAATCTAGGGAAATCAAAGGAAA